CCCAAAAAAAATAAAAAATAAATCCTGTGGCAAAATCTCGTAAAAAATGCACTCTGTTTTCAGATCTGGTCCAGACATGGTGTGAACAAGCCCTAAGGTCAGCTTTAACCAAAGCCTCTTGTGAACTGCCTTCTAGAAACTTTCTTCCAGAGAAGCAGTCCCTCTAAAATAAGACAAAGTCTGTCTCTTGAAAACTCCTAACAACCATTGGATTAATTCAAACGTTTGCTCTCCTGTGCAGGTTTTATTTTCAGAGAAGGTTTGAGTCTGGTTGGTTGGTCTACTGGAACACAGGGAATCTTGTTCATAAAAGTTTCATTGATAAGAAATGACTGCTATGCAACTAAGCATAATCAAAAATTGCAAAGAAAATGACAGTTGAGGAATTATCCAGATATATCGAAAATGGTTCCTTTATAATAGAACATGGCTTGCACACCAGGAATCGAAGGGACATTGTGTTATCCATATAATGAGAATGTCACCCTCAGTTCACAGTTTATCAGCGCAGGGCACAAAAGGTTGAATACATTTCTTAATTGTCTCTTGCAGGCTCTGGAATGTTTGTACCGGCAGCAGTGGTCGGCAGACGATGGGCTTGGAATCCTGATCATCTCTCCCACCAGAGAGTTGGCTTATCAAACCTTTGAAGTTCTGAGAAAAGTGGGCAGGAGCCATGAATTCTCTGCTGGGCTCATCATTGGAGGAAAGGTGTGTGAGATTGGTTATAATGCTGAGTTGTGTATACAATTCTGTGATGACATGCCCATGTGATGTCAGTCATGCCTTGTCTTGTCTTGCATGTGTAATTTCTTCAGGGCTCTTTTACACTTGCAAATGATCGCATCCAGAGGCGATCATTTGCATGTAATCGGAGCATGCATGATTACATGTGAATGGCTGCAGGTGCTGTTGGTTGTCTATGTCTGCAGCTGTTCACATAAACCTCATGGAGCAATTTGTGAGACTGACCCAATCGCAAGTGTAAATGGGCATTGCAGCCCTCCTTGACTTGACAAGTCAAGGAGGGCTAGATATGTGAGACCCTTCAAACAATGTGATGAAAGTTAGTTGTGAATAATATAGTGCCCACAGTATGTGTTTTGCACTTGTATTTATCTCGGTTCCAGTGGCGGCACAAAGATCTTCCTTCATACAGCAAACTGCAGAGGGGGTCCACTGCTTTTTGCAGGAGAGATGGTCTTTGTGCAGCTGTCTGACAGTCCCCTGCTGATTTCAAATCTAGAACTCTCCAATAAGCAAAACTCACATTCCACAGTCCCTGCTGATTGCACAGCTCTAGTTTTGACAGCTCTAGCTGGGGACACTATGCACTAAAAAATAAAACTTCTGCTACTGCCCACTTATTTGCTGACAGCACAGAGCCACGTTCCAGCTGCAAAAGATCCCGACAATATTGTCGGGATCCACCCCACTGCCTTATTGACGATTGTCAGGATCCCCCACTGCCTTATTGACGATTGTCAGGGCCCCCCCATCTGTCCCTCAAATGAGGGCTGGAGGAACAGAGAGGGGAAGGGGGAATCCCTGTGGGGAGTGGTGACTGACAGTCACCACTCTCTGCAGGGAGAAGACTGTGAGCTGCGCGATCAGCTGTTTGTGATCTCTGAGCTGTCGATCTATATAGAGGTGGCATGTGACATCTGCATTGTCACACGCTGGCTCCAAGTATTGGGAAGAGTATAACTAAGTCTTTCAGTACTTTTTCCTTTTAATGTAGATAAACATGGAATCAATGTCATCTGGATCTCTGTTCTTTTTTGTGAATTTCAGATCTGGATTAGAAAAATGTTTTATGTAATTGTAGATTTTTTATCATGGGGAAATTATTTTTTCCTATTATTATGATCACAATTTGATTGCCAATTAATTTTTTATCTCTTGTGTTCTTTTCATTTTGTAGTTAATCGTTCGTATATGGCTTTTTTAGACTTGTTTCTTGTTGTTCAAACTGATGCTGCAGTAAAAAATGAAAATGAAGCTTTGAGCTTTTATATCCTGATAATGCTGGAGTATATCAGTCCACCACACTGCTTTTTGTCAGCCATCAGGTGATCTGAAAACCCGTGCCTTTGATTTACGGATGGAATTTCTGTTAGCCTGCTAAGAGCCAGCAATAAAATTCAAATCCATTTTGGAAATGTGTGATTGATGATTGAGGAAGCTGAGAAAGAAAGAGTTACATAGCTCAGGCCTCAGGGCTTGGCCCTGTGAGGTGCTGTCTGGATTCTGACTTCAATAAATGACACAGAACTTATTAAAGTACATTAAGGACATTGCAGTCTGTGCTGGATAGGATTGGTAGCACATTAGTGGACTTGCTGAGTTTAAAGCATATCTGAACCCGAAAATATAATATATTGCAGTTTACCCGTCCTTAGATGTGGTGGCTGCATTCGTTTTTAAATTTTTTTATTTAACCTGTTAATCCTGTGAATGTGACACTTCTGACCCTGAGTAGCTATGCTTACTCCTCCACTGCATCTATGGAAGGAGACATAGTTTTCACCCAATGAACAATAGAAATCACCAGCACTCCATAAAGGAAATTAAAAAAAAAGTCAATTTTTTTGGGCTAAACGTCACACATCGCATAATCCAACGTTTCGGGACCACGCAGGGTCCCTTCATCAGGGCAGAGATGTGAATCCGTGATTGTCACTGCAAGGACCACTATTTTCACTTGGACCGGAAGCGCTGTAAGGAGTGCAGGGGGACCTACTGTTTTCTGGAATAGTTTTCACCCAGACTTGACTGCTAAAATGTTTGCCTCTCTTTATCTCGCTTACATGGTGGCTGATGGGGTTAATTGTTTGCAAAGGAAAGATACATTTTTTTTTTTTTGTCCTTAGTTTAGCTTACAGGGAGTGACAAGGACACTACATTTATGGCAAGATGAACAGGTATTTTCTGTACTCGCTAAAAATGTACTCGGCCTGATAAATAAAACATGAATGCACCCACCACATAACCTGTGGTGGGTGCAATATTTTATAGTTTTGTTCTTGGGTTTAGTTGTGACGTTTCTTTTATTTAGCATTCACATTTTTGCTTGCATTAGTTTTGCCTTCAGTCCTGTGAATGTCCTGCCAATGGAACAGTCGAAGAGTATTGACTACAGGTGTGTGCTTGTACCTTACAGTTTTCCTTTGCCTTATTGTAGGATCTGAAACAAGAATCGTCGCGCATCCATCGCACAAACATTCTCATCTGTACCCCTGGTCGTCTCCTGCAACACATGGATGAAACATCATTTTTTCACACCAGTAATATGCAGATGCTCGGTGAGTTATCAACTGCAGGGCAATAAAAGCATTTATTATTAACACTGATGTTTATCCTGATCATTATGTGTTCTGCTTTCTTGATCTCTCAAAATCTAAAAGTTAAAGTCCTTTCTGGCCAAACATTTTTGTAATAACGAGTCTGCCCCGTATAATCATATATGCCCCATGTGTTTTTTTGTTTTTATATAACCTGCCCTCCCCAAGGAGTGAAGAAATCCTACTCTTTGCCCATCTGACATCACAGAGACTGCAGAGGTCTTCATTCTGTTGAAGGAAAGATTCCCTGGGCCACTGTCTCCTGGTGCAGGGCACCCAGTTGATGGGAATTCACTGCGGGCCCTTTAGTGTTTTCACCCTGTGGGAGGATGGTCCTTGCCTTGCTAAGTATTTACTCTTTGGAGGAATATAACTTAAATGTTCAATTTTTATTAGGGATGCACTGAGCCCAAATGCTCTGATACTGAAACTACCAGTCAGAGGGAGATCTCCCTCTAAACCGCAGTCCCGAGGGAGCATGGAGCCATCTTCCTTTCCATTCAGGAAGCCAGGCGGTGGGCTATGGCCCGCCACCTGACTTCCTGATTGGTCAGGAAGCTGGGCTACCTAGCAACAAGTGAAGCCAGCTTCCTAGCCAATCAGGAAGCCGGGCGACACCTCATGACACACCGCCCAGCTTCCTGATTGGTCAGGAAGCCAGGCAGCCTCGGGAAGTGAAGCCAGTGTTCTTTCGATGGAACACAGGCTTCCTAAGCAATCAGAAAGCTGGGCGGCGGGTCATGATCCGCCGCCCCGTTTCCTGATAATCGGGGCACACAACACAGAGTACCAAAAAAAAAAATATTGGGGCATCCCTAATTTTTATTTATTTATATGGGATGTTTAGCAAGACTTTAAAGTATAATTATACCCCAACATTAAAAATCATCATGTTAAAGCTCTGGCACAACATGCCTGCTGTTACATTGTTAGTCTAAAACCCTCTACTGTGTGCTGTCCTGAAGTTGGATTCCTTGTTACTAGGTTCTACTAAGAACCTAAGGACCACTATCTTAAAACATGCTTCATTCTAATTGTGTGTGTGGTTAGGACATTGGAAAAACGTAGAGTTGCCTTGTCACACTCCTTACCAAATGAGATGATGGGGGGTGCTCGCAGTGACTGCGGATGGCGCCGCCAAGTAGTACAAATGAATGGATCTCTCCAGCACACCAGGAATATTGAAATCCAAAGTGTTCGTTTATTGAAACGTCATGTCATCTGATCATAGTTCTGATGACATGACGTTTCAATAAACGAATACTTTGGATTCCAATATTCCTGCTGTGCTGGTGACATCCATTCATTTGTGGCAAAGATATGTCCCAGGAGTGTTTACAACTGTCACCTTTTTTAGTCACATGATTCACATTTTCTGTGGTCTGTAAACTGCTAAAACATATCCCTGGCAGTGTTGTGGTTTGTCCTGATCGCTGTCACTGGAAATGTGGAGAAAAATGTAAAAAAGGCACATGAAATAAAAAGTATTTAATATGCTGAATAGTTTTATTAAGTCTGTGCACTTATCACAGTAGTATATTTTTTGTGATAGTGGTCCTTTTGTGAGCTAAGCCCCACCAACCTTCAATCCCTTGTCTAGTTAAAGAGCCTCGTTCATTAATGAGGTTCTGTCATTATGCAAGGGGGTGTCAGTCCTTGACTCTTAGTCTAGGCCCCTGTGTTATTTCCTGTGGCTTTCTGTCTGGTAAACACCAAAACAGGAAGTGAGTGGGGAGTTTGCCAATGGAGACAACCTTAAATACCTGATGGTGGTCCTAACGTTTTCTTACGTTATCCAAAACAAAGTTATAATTCATTATTCCTTGCCCTTAACTTTAATATTGGTCTTGTTGCAGTGCTTGATGAAGCTGACCGGATCCTGGACATGGGTTTTGCTGATACAATGAATGCAATTGTGGAAAACCTTCCCAAGAAACGACAGACCCTCCTCTTCTCTGCAACTCAGACTAAATCTGTGAAGGACCTTGCCCGCCTCAGCTTGAAGGATCCGGAATATGTTTGGGTTCATGAGAAGGCAAAGTTCAGGTGAGATTTGGCTTCATCTGTTCTGCAGGCCATTTTATTATGAGAGTATATGGATACCAATATGCAGTCTGCCACTGCTGGCATCCCCCTCTCCTGCATGCACAACTTCTGGGCAGATAACAAGCTGCTTAGATGTCTTTCATATCCAGTGGCTGATGGGACACAGTAATCCAAAGGCAAGCTAGAGGCTGGATTTCTCAAAAAAGGAATACTTAGGGCATGCTTGCACCCATGTTACAATATTTCATGTGCTTTTACATCAGCTGCATTTTAACGCACTTGCAGGTTTTTGATGCCTCATTTTTGTTGGTTCCAAGACTACGCCAGAGTAAACTAGAAAATGTGTTTTTAGCCTCTTTTACTCCTGTGTTTCATGTGACATTTTGTTGCGTTATTTATTATTAGTATTTATATAGCACTGACAATTTACGCAACACTTTACGTAGTTGCACATTCACATCAGTCCCTGTCCTCAAGGAGCTTATAATCTAAGGTCCGGCCAATTTAGACAGGAGCCAATGAATCTTCCAGCATGTCTTTGGAGTGTGGGAGGAATACCACGCAAGCACAGGGAGAACATGCAAACTCCTTGCAGATAGTGACCTGGCTGGGACTCGTACCAGGGACCCCCAGTGCTGCAAAGCAGAAGTGCTAACCACTACGCCACTGTGCTGCCCGCTTCACTCAAGCAGTCAACCACATCATCCATTAATTTTTAGAGCCGTGGTATGGGGGCAGCTTACATGTGAGACAACCTGAGGAAGTTAATTAAACTTCCTTATAGAAGAGGCACTTAGGGGGAGATATATCTACACATTTATTAATCGTGGCTGTAAAGACAGTAACATCTTGTTTAATCTTAGTTCTGAGAAGGAGATGGGGTGACAAAGGAGGTTTTATCTAAAGTTGTGGTGGAATGCTTCTTCATGGTCATAGCAGCAGAAATTTCTTTCCACATTGACAAATTCAAAAACCTTCTACATGTCTTCCTCAATGTGCACAACATAGAGGGATATGTATCCCTTAGAAATCAAACTGACACCCAGAAAAATCATAGGTTGGACAGCAAAGACGCGTGTCTTTTTCCAACCTTTTCGACTGTGTAACTATATAATCTATTGACAAACTAGCAATATTTTAAGTGTGTTTAAAGTGGGCATAGCATGAGATATATTTTCTTGTTTATCTTGTTTATTTTGTCTAGTTGCAAAAAAAAAAATCGCCGGAGCTAGCTTTCTCTTAGACCTGTCCCTGGAGTTTCTCTCCCCCCTCCGCTGCAGCAGTCTAAGGATCCTTGAGTCATCATGTTCTATGCACAATGTATAGGATGCAAGGATGCCGAGGGGCATATCATCGCAGCCAAACCTGCTCTTCTGCGGTTCGGGTTGTGACGTACGCCTGGCCCAAACCCGTCAATCACACGTGACTATACACAAGTCAGAACCGAGCGTGGCGTCACAAGGATGTGGCGATACCACTATCGGCCTCACCCTACACAGAGATTTCCCAGCTTGTGGGACACAATCTCAGGCTCAGCCCAGCAGACTGAAGCGATCGTCACCAGGGTTGTTTAACTCCGCAGTTAACCCTTTACCCACAAACGTTCACTGCCACCATGTTTTTTTTTTAACGGAAACACAGACCGTTCCCAGCAAATGCTGCGACAATGTAAAACACTTAATGCCTGTGATACCGCTGTCCTCTCAGACACGAATATGACAGGATTCACTATACAGTAGCACTCTTCACAGAGGCAAGGATACTTTAAGTTCGTATTTAGAGCGTAGAGATAAGCTTAACGATTTGTAAGATCGTACTTTAATAAAAGAAACTCTGCAGAAAATATACACAAAAAGATTGAATAAAAAGAAACAAAATATATATACAACCGCAAAATAAAAGGTGGATACTTAACAGTCCTGGTCTTAGGAGTTCTGACAGAGTTCAGAGTTCAATAAGCTAAAGAGAAGTCTGAAGGGCTCTTCAAGCAAGCTTTCAGCAGATGATGTCCAGAGATTAAAGGGGAACTCTTCTGTGATGTTAAGACTTCTTAGTTTCCCCTTGATGTTTTAAAAAAAGAGCCCCCTCTAGCTAGTTCAGCATCTTTTAGTCAGACCTTTTATGGAGCCGATTTTGTAATCAGAATTATGACTTTTGGGTGAATGCGGGGTCACCTGGGTTATTACCTCTACCAGACCTGCTTGTGTTTATATGAAATTGTCCACTGGTGATAGATGAATGCCTGGTGACATCCTTATTTAATTAGGGACAGCTATAAACTGCTTAGAGGGCTCACTTGTGCTGGGGGGCAATAAAAGATCTAGAGCTGCAGCTAACGATTATTTTCAAAATCGATTAGTTAGCCGATTATTAAGTTCGATTAATCGGTTAATCGGATAAACAATAAAATAAATGTTAAAAAATGTCTCCAGTGATGGACTACTAGTTTGTATTGAGATTGCACTCCATCACAGGAGTAAGCTTGGAGCGGTGGAAGTAAAAAAGAAAAGAAAAAAGTGTGGTGTGCAATATAGTGAAATGGAAAGTGTAAAATTATACAGCAATCAATGCAGAATGGCACCGGCTATAGAGGACTACAAATCCCAGCAATACATTATACAGCACAATGCAGAATATCACCAGCTATAGAGGAGCACAATAAATCCTAGCAATAGTACATTATAGCTGGCGGTATTCTGCATTGCGCTGTATAATGTACTGTTGCTGGGTTTTGTAGTCCTCTATAGCCAGTGGTATTCGGCATTGCACCACTGTATAATGTACTATTGCTGGGATTTGTTGTGCTCCTCTATAGCTGGTGGAATTCCGCATGGCACTGTATAATGTATTATTGCTGGGATTTGTACTCCTATATACAGCGCTGTGCAGAATATCACCAACTATAAAGGAGTACAACAAATCTCATGTGAGTTGGGGAGGAGGTGCGGCGCGCAGCGTGTGTGGAGTAGTGAACAGGGCCAACTGATCGGAAGCCGATTATTGAAAAGTTAACTTTTTCAATAATCGATTATAATCGATTGTCGATTAGTTGTTGCAGCCCTAAAAAGATCACAGGCCAGATAGCAGATCTCTGATCTGTGGAATGTGGAAGGAACTGGCAAATTACTAAATGAAGGCCTGTATTTGCTCTGCCTGGGGGACAAAAGAATTCCATTTTTAATATTCAGACTCACCCCCATTATCGTCACACGGGTAAGTATAACTTTTTTTTTTTTTGAAGTGCAAGGGTTAAGAACATTTTGGCCTGGAGTTCTGCTTTAAGTACAAGCATGCTAAGCAATGTGCAAGTGCATTTATTACTTCTCGCAGAAACAGTACTACTCCTCACAATGCCTTCTCACAAATACGGCGCCATCGTTGCTTTGCACCTTCTTTGTCTGTGATGCCGACTCCTGAGATGTTGCAGTCTGATCTCTGGGCTAGAAGAGACTGAGGAAATGTTTCCTCCTGCCTGCAGCACACTGTTGACATCGTCTCTGCCTAGGCAAAGTCACTGGACGGGAGTGCTAGGATGGCTTTTTCATAATAAAAGGCACAGCTTGGTTGATAAATGATACTCTTGCTGTGTATTGTGACATGTCGGGGATATGTTCATGTAGACCAGTAAAGTTACTAAAAGGTGAATAAAAAAATGTTGACCAAACATACATTTTTTTTGCCGTTGATGAATGTGGCCTAGGGAAAATGAAGAGCGTGTAACAGGGCAGACATAGAGACTGTGGGTTAAGGAGTGACGATGTTTTGCTTGCAGCTTTACTTTTTTAGTGTATTCTTTGCACTTCATTGGGTCACCTATATTTAGCAGTCCATGATTAGCAGGCAGCATGATTTATGTGTTTTGCATTACGTGGCAGTTTCAGTACCGCGGTCATATTTTTACTTTTAGGTAAGAAAGTGTAGCTGTCAGGCTCCTCTCGGCATCTGGCGTTATCTTGTCGTACACAGCTCTAGATGGAGCACTCTGCACAAGCACTTCATTGACAGACTAATCTGGAGCGGTTTGCAGGACTTCTAATAAATTAAATACCGCAGTCATTAATTAAAATGAACAATTTATGCCCTCCAACTAGCAATTACCAGGCAGGGAGCTGACACCAGTGTTTCTGTACACGATGCAGCTGAGGGATTCTTACTGAAGGAACTGATAGAATGTTCACAGCCCGTGATTGTACCTTTTTCTGTACAGAACATAGACTGGCACACTGTTCTGGCCCAAACACTGGAGGGGAGGAGCCGGGCTGATGTCATTGATACGTATTGGGGACTGAATGGCTGGTTTAGTTGATCCATGGGCAGGCAGGGAGTCAGTATCAGAGACGCAATCTGACCAGCAAAATGGTAATAATTTAGGAACATTCTACTCTTCTGATGTTTTTATTAAAGAAGAACTCTGGGCACAGATGTATTAACCCTTGCAATGAGGCTACCCCCGCACTGTAAGGGTTAACTGTTTGTTTTTGTCTAGGTTTAAAAAAAAAACGTTCTATTTACCTGATCCTCAGTCAGTTGGCTCTTAGACCGGTCCCTTCCACCTTGCTCCCGCTCCACTGCAGTTGCCTAAGTTCCTGAGTCGTCATGTTATATACACAGTGTGGTGGACATGAGGATGCCGAGGGACATACCACCACTGGAGCAGAGGAGGAGATGGGCAGGAGGGAGCACTGTAACAGGCGCCCAGCTCAGAGGATCGGATGAGTATACTAGATATAAACCACCAGTTAACCCTTGCAGTGTGGGGGTAGCCCCACTGCATAGGTTAATCAAATTTGTGCCTGGAGTTCCTTCCCTTGCAGCCACTGCTGCATAATGGGCAATTGGCAATCAGCTAGATGACAGCAGTCCTAGGGATTAGAATAAATTTGCTTTTTTTTCTTTCCATTTTATAGTCTACAAATACCTTTTTGCGAGATTTATACAGAACAGTCATGTGACTACAACCATTGAACCATTGAAGTATGTGAGATGAGCTGGAGTATGGACCAGCCAGTGTGTTGTCATTTGTCTCCCTCTTTACCCTACTGTGCCTGTCTTTCGGGTAAAGGGGGGTGGGTCCAACCAGTGCGGGGAGGGGGGCGACTCCGGCCAGTACGACAAAATGTTCTATGTGGTTATGTCTTGATGTTCATACTATGCATGTCTGACACCCCCATTGTATCTGTGCTGAGATCAATTCGGAGGTTGGGTGGATGGGGATATACTATGCATGTCTATCACCGTTACCTTGAATCTCAACCCTCGGGAAGCATGGTCAGCAAAGAAGAGGAAGCTTTGCAGGTTCACCAGAGACATGCTCAACCAGTTTTTTGAGGGTTTTTTTTTGGCACTGACATTAGATAAAATGCACACATAATGAAGTTTAAAAAGGGTTTTACAGCCATATGTTTTTTTTTTTTTTTTAGGTTCACATACTTTTTCATCTAATAAATGGTTACATGAAAAACAGAGTCTGTATATGTGTAGCATAGCCGCAGAACCACTATGGTTTCCCTCTAAATCTAGTGATGTGACCCAATGTTATTGGCTCTTGCTGCTGTTCAGTTTACCTTTTTCTTTTTTACTATGCAGATGTTGGGTTTTTATGTGTTTTTTTTTTTTCCTGGAGTTAGTTTATTGCATCCCAAACTTTGTGTTTTTCAGTACACCGGCAACTCTGGAGCAGAATTATGTTGTGTGTGACCTCCGACAAAAGATAAACCTCTTGTTTTCCTTTGTGCGTAATCACCTGAAGAAAAAGAGCATTGTCTTCTTCTCTAGCTGTAAACAGGTATGTGTGCTTGGTCACGGGTGAAGTATTAGGGACTACCACTTACAGTGATTTGTTACATATGAGGATTTATGGGCTGTGGTTGTTTTGTGCACTCCATACATAACATAGTCTAATGAACCATGCAAGGTAAGTGTTTGGGCTTTCTGGGTGAAGCAGAGTGGATAATGTGGGACAAATATTACTAACCTTTCTTCTCAGTACCATTAGCTAATATCCGCCTTCTGGACTACTGTGTGACCCGGGCAGAAGATTGCGCCATAAGGTGCAATTTAGGGTGCTCTGAAATAAAAAATAAATGGCACATTTACAAAGCACAGGGCTGAAGCAAGAGAAGCCGAAATGATGGTTGTGATGGGGGGAGGGCGTATCCAATCACCACTCTAAGTAGGCCCCTGTCATTATTCTCTGTAAATGGCTCTAACCGTCTTCTACACCTAATCTTCAGTACTATTACTTCCATTAGGTCCAGTATTTGTTCCGTGTATTCTGCAGGCTTCGGCCTGGTATCCCCATCTTGGCACTGCATGGCAAACAGCAGCAGATGAAGAGGATGGAGGTCTATAATGACTTTGTGAGGAAGAAGGCAGCTGTACTTTTTGCTACGGACATTGCGGCCCGAGGATTAGGTATGTGATGATATTCTCATTATTTCAATACTGTACATAGTATTTCTAACTGTGTTTTTTTAAAATCTCATCTGCTAATACCTTTTGATCACTAGATTTTAATGATTTGATCCAAATGGCTAATTCTACGTTTGAGGCACCACTTGAAAGAAAAATCCAATTCCTCTGTGTTCCCATAGTTTTAGCTTAGTCTGGCCTAGAATCCTCCTGAGATCCCGGATGTCTCTGTACCTGCACTCTTCACCAGCTTTCCGGCAACAAACTCCAACCACAGCTGCCCATCCACAGTTTAAGAACAACATGGAACCGAGGCTCCTTTAAACTATTCTAGTCTTTTACCATGCAAATGCTGCTGGAAATACAATGAGTGTCTTTGGTCAGAGACTTGTAAAATGACAGATGTTGCCTGGTGATATCAGTGTGGGTAGAGGGTGAGGGACAAAGAACAGAGGGAAATAAAGGCATGGGCCACCAAGGTTTTTTTTTTTTGTAAAATTGTATAAAATTCTTTGAAATTGTTTGTAACGTATATGTAAGCCAAATACTTGATATACATGTGGACATGTACATGCCCTGATGGCTGATGTTTTCTTTTCCAGTGTTAATAATTTGCCTCTATGGTCAATCAGCACTGATTAATATCATGTAGGAGACTTACAAGTTTTTATTAGTATTTACTAGTACTTATAGTAACATGTTATGAAGCCAGTGGTTCTCACTTCTGGGAGTTGTTACTGCTGTGATGGAGAAATGTTCAGGTATACTTGGCATTTACCAAAGTGTGATTTGCAGTCTCATTCAGTTTGGCTGAATACAATGACGTCAGGCCTCCTTTTGCTGATTGGCTTAAATAATTTTGTTTCCTCATTGACTAAGATCATCCACTATAAAAAATAATGCCAACCATTGGGGGGAAAGTAGAGATAAGTACATGTAAAGTGGTTTTTACACAGCTTTCACAGTTGCTATCTAGGAATGGTAAAAGAACAGTGAAGGGTTGGCAACTCCCTCTATGCAGGATTACTGCTAGATGCGATAGTAAGAGAATTGGAGTGGGTCCCTTTTAATTCTGGGAAGTTCAGATTCCAGCAGCAAAGTGAAGCCAAGGGAACAGAAAAAAGCGGTTTGACTAATAAAGGTCATTTGGTCCTCTTGTAGTATCTTCCCTCGTGATGGACATTTAAAGTTCACTGTAATCTGTAAAGCTGAGCAGTGGTCTACTACCTTATAGCAACCAATCAGAATTTAGCCCATCAAATTGCAATTTCCATTGTGCTTGCTGTGGAGGAAGGTTAGAGAGACAGGTAAATATGTAGTAGATTTGCTTTGGTGCCCATCACTTATACTTACACCCCTTACACCCTTCACTTTTTCTATCTGCAGACTTTCCAGCAGTTAGCTGGGTGCTCCAGCTGGATTGCCCTGAAGATGCTAACACTTATATCCACAGAGTTGGGAGGACAGCCAGGTACGTCCTATGTGTTCAAACACTACAAATGTTTCTATTCTCTGCTACCATTCATGGTTTACCATCACAGTTACCTCTCTGTCTCTTCTATGTGGCTGTTGCCAGATGTATTTGGGTATACAATATGGCTCCTGTCTACAGACATGCTGTATTTTGGGTCATGGGCCTGTTTTTGTGATTTGTTTAAATATGAATGAGAATAATGCCAGGCAATATGGAGTGTATGGGAGGTCTGGCAGACACAGAAAATCATGTCATGTATTGTATCTGACGATAAAGCATTGGACACACTGCCTGCTCTTTTGCCGGTTCTCTCCATAGGTTGTAATGTCTTTCGGTACCTTGCCTTTTTCTCTTTCCAGGGATTTCTTTGTACTTTCCATGGTGTTTCCTAAACTAGTTTTATTCCACCATCTTATCCTTTTCCATGTCTGTGCCGCCAGCAATGCATGTTACACACATTAGTGCATTGCGGTATCATTCATTTTCAGTGGCTCCCCAAAGCACTAAGTTAAGACTTGGGTGCATCTCAGCACATGGTAACGCACTACTGTCCAATGTGGTATGCTGCGTTGGGGGCAAATAAGAGGTGTAGGCACCCACATCCATTTTTCTGTATTTGCAATCTATTGAAATGGAGAAATGCCTGCACTCCATCTACGGCTGCATGGCATTTCTCAGTGCAGGTTTTCTGATGGTGTTAACAGTGACCCATACCTGAGCAGCGTGTGCTGAAATGGCCACTTGTGGTCTGAGAGAAGTCTGTTGACAACACAGAATACCCGAACAGAGCTGGCAGCTGATTGGCTGTTGGCTTTGTTTGTTTGAAAAATTTCCAACCGTCTCCTTCAATCAGCTGATCAAGGGATTCTGTCAGTGGCACCCACTTTGCCAGTTTTAGCCAGTTCATCAAGAAACAGCCAAAATGTGTATCATGTTGGCCAGCTTTAGATTTGTTTAGTCCAGGTCACAGGTTGAAGGAAAGGAATGTACGGCTGTATGGCCAGCTTTAGATTTGTTTAGTCCAGGCCACAGGTTGAAGGAAAGGAATGTATGGCTGTATGGCCAGCTGTGGTGTGAATACGGCTCATCTCCTCTATAGCTTTACTGCTATCTTCCCTTTGTTACCATATTGCATGAGAGCTGTATTACACTTTAATAGCTGCTGCTAATGGAGCTTGCTTAAGGCTTCATTGAAAGTTTCATAGACCACGAGAGTGTTTAATTGTCCCACATAAAACCTTAATTAATGATCAGCGCTAATTAGGATCCTGCATTATCTCCTGTCAGTATAAGCGTTTCTTCTCTTTGACGCGGTGCCGTTGGTTGAAATGCAGCTACTGGGCGAGATTGCTGAGTCGCGTGGTTAACAAATGTATCAATACCTGAGGTTCTGGCCCTGCTGTTAGTCCTGTTTACTGTCAGATCCCATTTACATCGGACACTTTTACTTTGGTGCTTGCAGAATTGGATTTTTTTAATGAAAAATAGCTTTACTAACAAGACGAGAGCAGCGCTGGTGAGTGGCGTGCCGCTGCCGTGTCCAAGATGCCTGGTAATCAGCATTCACGCTATGCCGTATTGATCAGCAGTATTGAATTTTCAAGCCTCTATATTTCTCTTTTTTTAGAAGTAACCCCTAAAGACTATGATTAGAATATAATGTTTGGCCCTTTTTATTTTATAATGGATAATTATTACATTTTGAGTTAAACAAATGATTAAAAGAAGAGAATCCAACTTATGAGTAGACGAGAAAACATTGTTCTACTCAAGGCTCGGGTCTCATTATGTAATTACTGTTAGGCCTGCCAAGAAGTCCCAAAATAGCAAAATACCAAACGCAACAGGTCCACAGGGTAGTCCAGAAGAAGCAGAGTCAAAGTCCAAGCCAGGTCAGCAACAAACAGAAGCACGGTACAAAGGGGTAATCCAAAGGCAGGTGGTGGACAAGCAGAAGATCGTAAACCAGGAATCCAATATATCAAAGACAATCGCACCCAGGATGTACAGGTGGCAGATTAGGTAATTTCCTGCAGCTGACCAGTAGGTGAGGTCAGAGCCCCATGCACTGTAGGTGGATAGGACAAGGTCAGCACAAAATTGGAACCCTCCAGTGGTTCCACAAGCAAGGAAACAACCCAGAGACCAAAGGCTCCCAGGATCGATTCCATCGCAAGCTGTAGATTTAAGGAGTAACTCCACTTTCCTAGACGAATATAGGATGTCCCCTCTCCCTCCCCCTGCTGCTCTTATCTGTCAATGATCGCTCCTTCTACTCCGTGGCTGCCAGTGTAATCTCTGTATGCAGCCCTCTGGTATATGCCCTTGAAATGACTAAAGCCTGCTACAGCTGCAACTTTGTTTTCATTTTAGAACAAGTAGGGATAAGGTGTCAGGTTTTTATTGCAATCTGTACCCCCACCGTGAAGGAACTGTGGTTTCCTTCTTGAGTATAACCATGCCAATGGTCAGAAAAGTCCCACGAGCACTGGCACTTGGACCTACGACAACAGTGCATTGCACGGAATACTCACTGAAAATAAGGGGACTATCTTCTGCACTTGTATGTATCAACCATGTTGGAAAACAAAAGGTAAATGTTGGCCATGGATTAAATTTTAGCTGTTTCCTACTGAATCAGAAATCAATATGAGCCATGGGTGGCCCTGCCAAACTACCTGGTTCAACAAAAGTCAGTTTTCGATCAACTTTTGTAAAGATGCCGGGTGGAAAATTGCCTTCTGAACGGTGACTGCAGCCAATCGGGTGTAGTCACTGTTCCATTTTTCTGACAGCCGCAGTATTAATTTATAAATCCTGATTTTTTTTTTTTTTGCGGCAGTTTGCCTTTTCTTTTTGCATTCACTTTTTACTAAAGGATATTAATTGTGCTCTGTGTTAAAATGAAATCCACCAAACTAGTCAATACACAGAATGGTTTCTGTTTATAAAGCATTCAAATTGGCTTATTCATCCAGTGACACTGCATGTAAATTTGTTGTGTGCTAGTTACTTAGCTGTTATAATTATTAGGGATGCACAGATACATCTCGAGTACCAGTGCCGATACTTGTCATTTTCATGAGAACGATCAGGGGTGCAGCGGTTGCAGCTGGGACCGGGCTCTGGCGCTCCAGCACTGTCCTGAAATCATTAGTCTGTATTGTTTTAGAAAAACTTGTCACATGACAAACAAAAATTTATCAGTACTTGTACAACTGGTATCGGTGCATCCCTTTTATTTATATTTATAAAAACAAAATGATACAATAAAACAGAGATGTACAAATCCCAGGAGCTCCGTGTGCTCCTTACAAATGACAGCTGCCTCCTAACTTTAGAATTTTTCTCTAGTTTAGTCTTGGAGCTGGAAAACTATCTGTACTTGTACCGAGTATGGTACTTGGTATCGGTGCATCCCTAGTAATTATGGGGCAGAAACAAATGTTCTTAGTGCATCTTCTGGATGAATGTTCTTCAATAGGTTTATTCATACAGAGCAGTTTGTGTGTGTGTGTGTGTGTGTGTGTGTGTGTGTGTTCACAGTGCTTTACATTCTGCACATTCACATCAATACCTGCCCCAGAGGAGCTCACTATCTAAGATCCCTATCTCACATGCATACATACAGGGCTGCTTTAGACAGGAGCACATCAACCTTCCAGCATGTTTTGGAGTACCTGGAGGAAACCCACATAAGCATAGGAATAACATGCAAACTCCTTGCAGATAGTTTCCTGCCCGGGATTCAAAGCAGGGACCTTCAAGGCAAAGTACTAACCACTACACAACTGTGCTGCCCTTGAAATGCTGCATTATGGCCACTAGATGAAGTTTAGGATCATAGGAAATAAGTACATGTTAGTAAGGGGATGCACTGTTACAATTCAAGAGACCTGGAGGGAATGAGCATATTAATGTAACCTTTGATACTACAGGGATAGCAGTTGTTACATATATATGCTCATTCTCTTCAGCAGTCTCTTGAATTGTCTTGTTACTAACATTTATTGCCTATGACCCCTCGGCTCCCCCTAGTAGCCATAATGCGGTATTTTCCCCATTTCCTTTGCTTTGTATGAACAAAAGAACATTCGACTGAAAGAGGTAAAAACACTAAGAACATTTGTTTTTGCCCCATTCTCACACCAGCTGGTGTGTACCTATACAGAACAAATGTACCTGTAGTCTCACTGGACTAATAAGCTATGCAAACTTTTTATAACTATCCCAATATAACTATTTTTGACAGTGAACTCTCTAGTTTACAGAATGCTTTAAATTGGAAACCTGAAGTGACTTGTAAACTTTTAAGGAATTTGGAAGCTTCAGTTTAGATATTACTTCTTGTGTAAAACACAACTACAAATCAGCGTTTGAAGGAAACTAAAATAAGTTTTTTTTTTTGTTCTAATTTATAAAAAGACTGTTGCGTGGGGTGGAAAAAAGTATGTAGAGGCCTCACATGTTCTGCCAGGTAAACGTCCAATACTTCTGGGTAGTGCCAAGCCCCGGCCACCACACACACAATGTCTTTTGGCTCATGCGTTATGGGCAGCCTTACTTGCCAGTAGGAATTCTCAGGAGTCTGGGAGGGTCAGGCAAGCTTTGTTACTAATAAACGAAGAAACTGCTGAGGCCCAAGATACAATTGTGGCAGGAAGTCACTGGGGGCTCTTCTAGGTATTGTTATCTAAATTAATATACGCTTCCTGCGCATAGAAATCCACTGCGCTAAAAAGCACAGTTCTCAGCTCTTTGTATAATTTCATAAAGCGCCTCGGCTGTATCAAGTGAAGACCAAACACGAGCTGTTGTCACGTTGGATTCTCAGCTGACTAGCACAGGAACTCTGTTTTATTTATAAGGCACAAAAGGATAACGCCCAGAGGGGGGTGGCTTTACAACATCAGCCAATCAGCCCAAAAAGTACAGTTACATAACAGAAAAGGGGAGTGCACCAACGTGGATGCGCAGAGAAACGTGCATGACTCACT